CTTGCTTATTCACACATTGAAAATGGGGTAGTGAAAATCTCAGTCTTGCAATGGATAATTCAGCTATGATGCCTTTTGTTATATTTTTTTATATTTCTAGCTATTTACATGAATTACATAACAAGTCTTGCACATAATGCTTGAAAAATCAAATTTGATTGGCAACCTAATACGAATGTTATGGGTTATTTAATACATGAATATTTTGTATTTTTCTGCAATCCGTGTTTAAGGGACACTTTTTGTGTTTCAGGGTAAAATTAAAACTTTCTAAACTGTTAGCCATTAGTTCGATTTAGCATTTAATCTCAGATAAACGACCTGATTATACACAAAAATGTGTGGATCTTGACTTGTTGATCACATGTGAATTTGCTAATACTGATATTCTTTTGGCGCCATACCTCTGATGATCCTTTTTAAGGATTTCATGAGGGCAATGGAGTGAAGCTAAAATGTGAGAAATATGACTCCTTTGAATGTAATAAGTGGCAATTTCTCTAGCTAATGTTCCCTTTGATTAGACATCCCACCCAGAAGAGTGCAGTTCTAGGAACAGCAAAGATGCTGCGCAGAACCCTCAACCTCCCAGGCCTCTGGTAGAGGACCCTAACCATAGATAGATAGATAGATAGATAGATAGATAGATAGATAGATAGATAGATAGATAGATAGATAGATAGATAGATAGATAGATAGACACACACATCACTTGCAGGTGTAACTACAGAGGAAACTTTTCTGTTCCTGTATGACTCATCTCATACATGTTTGATGCAGTAGGGATTAGCCTCTGAGAGCTGCTCCCTGAAGGGTTGCTTCGCTCTCCTTTAGTGACTGTAAAAGAAAAAGAAAGAAGATGTAGATGCAGAATGAGACAGACAGAATCAAAGCCCCAGTGCTCTCCCCATCTTTCTCTTCCTACCGCAGATGTTTCCCTTCCAACTATAAATACACTCCTGGAACCTGCCACGTCCTGAAATACAAAACGCAGCTAAAAGTTATTATCGGGCTCCAGAATTGCTTAAAGTCTCAGGTTACACCTGAAGACTTAAGAGCCAAGCCGGCATGATTTTATGAGCCCTGCTCTTATTTTGTAACGATGCTATTTTATTTGATTAAATGCAGACAGGCTTTCATGTAAAAAGCTTAAATCCGGATAAAAGCGGAACGTAATCGATGTAGAGATTGGCAGGCTTAGAGGCAGCCCAGGTTGTGGACTGGAGAGAAAAGAGCGAGGTGAGAAAACCAATAAAGCTGCATAACTGGCTAAACTGACAGTAGCAATAAATGGCAAATAAAAAAGAAAAGAAAAGTTTTTTACCAATTTTAAGTGCAAGTAATGTCCCAATTCAGTAAATCAATGAAAACTAAACACAGCCACCAGTTTGGATTTTTAGCAAACTGTATGTTTAATACCGTAAAACAATGGAGCCACACATATATTGGTTCCCTTTCTCTTTTGAAATTTATTTTAAAATACTTACCTGAAACTAAGCAGATGGAGCAGAGGCAGGTGGAAGAGAAGAAGGAACTGCAGCTCTGCGGGGGCGACTTCATTTGGCAAGCTGTATGGTTTCATGTCGTCTTTGGCTGAAAGGAAGATATCTGTCTAAGACTGGACAGGATATTGTTTTTAAATCTGTTTATTGTACAGCTGAGGATTTACAGGAATAAAATGTAATGAGTTTTGCCGGTACAGTTTATAAAATTAGTTCATGTTGGGACAGTATGCAGCCTTTTGTTTTGCTTGTCGACATATTCTAGCCTACTTCATGTTGTAAGATTATTGCTTTGATTACAAATCTAGTGGTAAACAGAACCGAGTGTGGCTAAACTAAAAATTGGTAATCAAAATGTATTTCCTCTATTAATGTTTCCTGCTTCTGTAATAAGGTCATTTTTTCTATTTTTCTTATCAAATTCTTTTTAGAATTTCTAGCCTCTCAGGTAATGCTGCAAAAAAAAAAACTGAAATATAAGAACAAATATATCAAAATAGATTAATTAGCTCTTAATTTGAACAAGTAGATGAAATTGTGGAATGAGTACTTTTGCCCTTAAAATATTTATACTACAAATTGGTAAACTGTTTTTAACTGTTAAATCTAGACAGTTTACTTATTTCAATAAAAATGGACTTGGATTTAGTTTTCTTTTTGTTTTGTTTTTTGTTTTTTTGCAATGTGCTGTTGTATAATTTTAGTAAGGTGATCTGAAACAGGAAGTGCTAAAATGAAATCCTTCTGCATCCTCTAGTGTGAAATAGTCGGTCACAGGACCTGCTTCCTGTTTAGGAATAGAGTGCGCAGATTGTTAGCGGGATGCGCGTTCACTGGTGTGTGCGTTTCAGAGATGAACTGACAGCAAGCGAGAGTGTAAAGTGGGCCATGCAGCCTCTTGACACTCAATCTCATTCAGTGGTCACAGATTACTGTCACCTCTTATTATCTCATGTGATTGTCTTTCCATGTGTTTGTCGTCAGGCTGTTTAGTGAGGAATTAGAAATCTCAGAGTTTACTGGTGGTGATAGCTGAAGGTGATGACTTAAATAAAAGTATTATTAGAAAAAAGACAGGAAGGATCAGAGTCCTTTATCAACAACTCATATTAAGATCATCCTGGAGAGAAATATCAGCTGTGTCC